TAACCCAAAATAGGGAAAGACAATGATTAGCTCATCTTGTACTTTAGCATATTGTTGCAAAACACCCTTGCTTTCCCCATTTTGAGGCATAACTTTGCAGTTCTATGGCAGAACTCTCTTGTGGAAAATGCTATTAAATATTGTTTTGTCCTGTAAATGTCATCTTTCTGTTTAGGAAGTCATGAATTAAATATGCTAATTGATGGTCCTATAATTATATTAATCTCACTGTGTATAAACTATATTGTTTTCAAAATGACTCCATTTTAACTTGTCAGTTTTGAAAACTGATTGTGCAAAAGAAAAATTGGAAAAGTTGGACATGTTTTTTGGATCTGAAAATCAGAACATCCACCATAAAGAGACCCAGTTTGGTCTAGTGGTTAAGGCACCAGACCAAAAACTGGGGACTGTGAGTTCTATTCCCACTTTAGCTGTGAAAACCAGCTGGGTGACCTTGGGCCAGTCACTCTCTCTCAGCCTAATTCACCTTACAGGGTTGTTGTTGTGAGTAAAGTAAGAATTACACCAGCCAGTTGTCATTCTTAGTTTCTAATGACACTGGTCTTATTCCTAAAATGGAGAAAATTATTTTGGTTATGCTTTCTGGTTTTCAACTAGTTACAATTCTATGGCAGAACTCTCTTGTTGAATATGCTATTATCTTGTTGAATATTATTTGCCTTTCATCCATCTCCATCAATGTCTTGATGATTTTGTTCTCTGATACCATAACTGCAAAAGTGAATTTTTAAACTGTTTTGAAATAGCAGGACTACAACAGAAATGTCATAGCAATGATCAAGGAAGAAGAAATGCACAAGGATAAAAAGGACAATAGTCATATTTTCTAGGACATGAGTTTTTCATCTTTTTAATATATATTTCAGTGATGTCAAAAACAGTAGTTTTCACATCAAAGCACTTTTTAAATGCTTTTATTGGGGAGATGAATCAGATATATTTTATACAAAGCTTTTTTCATTTTAAGTGAATAGAATGACCTGTAATTTATTATTTATCTGGAATCTCCACTTCTTCCCAAATATTGCATGAATTCTTAGCCTTCAGTTAAAAAGACCCACTTTGCATGAGGTCTATGTAAGAGCTAGTTTGGTCTAGTGGTTATGGCACCAGGTTAGCAACCAGGGGGGCCTGAATTCAAATCCTGCCTTAGCTATGAAAGTTTGCTACCTTGAATTACTTGTAAAAATAAAGATGAAATACAAATACATAAATAAAAATAATTTTTCATTCTGCAGTTAAACCTAGAACACACCCTATTAAGTATCTATTTTTGAGCAAGGCCACAATCTCCTGGGGCAGTGAAGAGAATCCAGAACACTATATAATTTTTCTAATTTTCCTCTCCAAGATAAAAGAAAGGGTTATACCCTCAGAAGGAAAATTTGACATGGCATATGAAGCATTTAATCTAGGAGACATGCTCTTAGCAGCACTAGTTGTTTAGAATGAAAAAAATAAAAGGGTCTGGATAGTTCTAAACGTCTTCACCCTCAGCTATGTTCTTAGCCTAGAAGAAAATATAAACCAAACATTCATTCTCTTCCACTGTTCCTCCAGCAACATGAATAAATGGTATTTGGACCCACCAAATACCATTTATTCTGGCACCAGAAGTTCTGAATGAAACAAGGTCTCCTCTCAGAATGTTTCTCATCTTCTTATCACAGATATTAGTCCTTCATTTTTCAGCAAAATGCAAATATTAGTTAATACGTTTTTGTTCTCAGTAATCTTTCTTCATTATTATTTTAAACTACTGTAAACACATTAAAATATATAAATATGTACAACTCTGTATCCCTCGATAGACTTTTCCCTGTCTTATGTTCTAGTGCAGGGGTCGCCAACATTTTGGACCTCAGGGATCACCAAACTCATAATTTTAAATCCCAGGGACCACTAACTGTTTCTGTGGGCATGGCCTAATTTGTGGGTGTGGCTTGGTGGTCATGTGACTGGCTGGGCATGGCTTGTATGTAAATATAAATATTTATATAAATATTGAATGTTTTATTTAAAAAAAGAGCAACTTTTACCCAAAATCAGGCAAATCAGACAGACAGATTGAGTTGCTCACATAATCACAGATTCATTCAGAGATCTATCTATCTGCCATTGGCTAGCTCATTCTGTCACATAAAATTTGCTTGCCGTGAGTCTGCATTGAACAGTAGAACCTTCAGTCCTAAGGGAGTTTCGGCTGTGCTTAAAAGCAGACCCAAAGATCTAAAGACTAGCTAGAAAGCAAAAAATCCAACCATTTCCTGCTTCCTAGCTAATCTAAATCTCCTGGCACAGCAGAACAACTGATGGTTGGAAAAATAGCAATTTAGCAGCAAGTTTGCCAGGTAAGGAATGAGTGGAGGGGAGGGTGGGCCATGTGGATGGCGCAGCCTTGTGTTTCTGCGCAGCCTGGATTAATTGCTTTGGGGGGTGCTCTGGGGGTGAGATTTCTCTGCGGCCCACCAAAATTTTCTCGTGGCCCACCAGTGGGCTGCAGCCCGCCAATTGGCGACCACTGTTCTAGTGGTCAGTTCACTTTCTGTAAAATTTCTAGCACTCTAATGTATTATATTTATGTAGCGTATTCAAATATAGACTTCTAATACTACATTCCTATTGGTTAGTTAACACAGCGTAACGATTGGTTAAGAACAACGGGTTCCAATTGGCCGCATAAGCGGCGGGAAGTTTAAACACATGCCATTGGTTGCGAGCCGCAAGCAGCCGCTATAAAAAGGGCTGCCGCGGCTGGACTTCAGTTGAAGTTACTGGTTGCTAATAAAGAGCTGATTTCAACTCCGGTATTCGAGTCTGCTTTGTCCTGGTGATAGGACAATTTATTTATTGCTTGACATAATATTTTGAGGAGTAAGTACTCCAAATATTAGTTGCCCTTGTCTTAAAATCTTAATAGTTTTTGCCAGAATGTGTGTTCCTTCTTTTTTCCTTGATCTGGGCAATAAAAAAGATTTACTGAAATTTAGAACATACATTAAAATAAAAAATAAATAACCTTGCAAGAATGTTTTCTTGATCTTTAAAACTTACTTGGTTCTCTTCTGTCATTTGGGACTTGTTTATTATTTCTTTAAGTTTATCTCAAGTTAGATTATTTTACATTGAAATATTTTCTGGAAGAATTCATTTTCTCAGAAATATAAACATTTGCATTTTGCTTTCCTTTTTTTCTGAGAAATTCAAGATTCCATTTTTTTACTTATAATGTAATTCCTATTCTGGTATTTTCCTTCATGAATAGATTAGCAGAAGCATGCACATATTTTTCCTGGTTCAGGACACTGCTTCATCTTTGAATAGCATGTTAAGGACCATGCAATGAACTCATGAGTGAATAAGAATAATTGAGACTAATATATGAAATATTTATTTTTGTGCCTTAGCAAATTATCCATCATTCAAAGCAATTTCCAAAAGACCTCATGGTTTATTTGTGGTATTCACTGTCACCAGTAGAACTCCTAGCTGTTCTCCAATTTAATACACTGTACCATTGCTATGTATTGTCTATTTCTGTATGAATTCTTATTAAGATTCTTTATCATTCCATATCTTCCTATTGTTTCTGGCTTCTTCCACCTTTTCCAGCTCTAAACAAAATTCTGATTTATAATCTTGTTGAAATTTAATAGGATAGCTTTAAAGTTATAGCAATGTGCATAGAAAATATGCATGAGATAAGCTTTCCATTTCAATGTAATTAAACTAGAAGAGAACACTTGCACTTAAAAAAATATTCCAGAACTAGATCCCAAAATACTATGACCAGCATTTTTTCTTCCAAAAGATGAACTGTTAGGTTATATTTAGCAAGAGAGTGGTTTTTTAAAAAGTCTGCACTACTTGAGAGGCCTATTGAAGGAAAGCAAACAACATTCAGGCCACGGAAATAAACGATGTTCATTAAATATTCACAATCAGATTCTCCTTTTACATGGCTGGTGTTTTCAATGTCAATTTCTGTTTACAGTCAGCGAGCATTCTACACTAATGGAAACTGAAGGTTTAGCATATCTCTACTGGACAGGAAAGGGAAACAATTATTAGGTATCAGTGTTCAATACTATTTACTTTCAAATTGATTTGCCATGTAATTTCCTGTATTTAGTGCTTGACCTAAAATTTATTACTATGTACAGAATTCAGATTAATGTGCAATGTTTTTATGAACCATTGAAAACCACTGAAAATAGGCTATATATTAAAACCACATGCACCACATCATGAAAACATGATAGTTCAAGAAAGAGAACACTGCTTACCATTTTGAGCCAGATCACACTGACATTCAACTGTCTGCCATTTTCAGTAATAGGCAGCCCATTTGTAAGTATGATTTGCCTGTAAATTGAATGTTCTTAATCCAGGGACTGCCTGTATGTCATATTGTATTTGGTTATCGTAGTGTTATTTCCAGGCTTTCTGGGCAAGCTATAAATGCTATCCATTCATTGAACTATAGAGTCCTTGGTGCTCTTTGAGCTTGGTTGTTTATCTGAAAACGTTTCACTACCCAGCTAGGTAACATCATCTATGTACTTTGTATTTTTACCATATATTCTTATATATTTTCTAAAGATTTCTAGATTTAGTTAAAATCTGGGACTAATTGCTGACAAATAGAGTAAATACAGTACACATGTTCTTTCCCTTCTATGTGTAGTTTCATCTAGAATTTATTTTATATAATTTATTTTGAATTACTGATATTAAATAATTGAACATTTTGCAAGCTACAAAAAGTGTTTTGAATGCCAGATAGTCCCTTGGCTTAAATATGTATGGTTATGTTGTGTTATTTGTTATTGTAGTTTATGTTATACAGCATTTTTTAAAATAAATTACAGTAGTCTCATAGCTAAGCAATGATTTCATTCAATGTTTTTCTTCAATAGTGGTTCCTTTTTGTTTGATTTAAAGATCAGTTCCCTCTCTCCTTACTATTATCTCAGATTCCATTGGTGGGCCCTTTCCTGCTACCTCTCATCGATGCCACCACAAGCAAAAGCACTGTCTACCCATCTCACAGTGTGGCACTCTCTCTATCAGCCCACTGCTTTTTCATCCTCACACCAAGGGGTCACAGATCATTATGGATACCACTCAGAAAGTAGTCAAGCGACAGGCAAGTTTCTGCAATGCCATCACCTTCAGCAACAGGCCAATAGTCATCTATGAGCAAATCAGACTTAAGGTGAGTTGGTGCTTCTTTCCACTTTCTTTATTTTTAGCACAAAAATTGGCTTGATAGGCCAGCCTTTGCAGTATTTTCTCATATGTTTCCATATTGAAGGAGATACCAACTTTTGCAGAAATAATTTGATTGGTGGAGTTGGTATGTTCTGACTTCTCTCAGTTTAGCAGGAAAGTGTCCTTCTCTGCATGTTTCCTTGAATGAAGTTGTCCATGAGACCTGGAAAAATATTTCGTTTTTCTTCTTTTTCCAAGAGAAAAGATGGAGAATTCCAGAGATTCAACCTTCTAGAATAGAATGGAATAGAATAGAATAGAATAGAATAGAATAGAATAGAATAGAATAGAATAGAATAGAATAGAAT